ACACCCATTCCTTCTAAATGAATTCTATGATCACCCAAAATGCTCTTTTTCCGTTCCTTCTCAAATTTCAACGCCATCGCAGCCAAAGCCTTTTTTTTTTATTTGCAAATCTTTTTGTAACATTTTTTCAAACCCAATGAAAATGCTGTTTTAGATATAAAGTGAAACCAATGAACACAACATCTGAGCAATTGAAGTTTAGCAGCTCGAATCGGATTTGCCTTTTTTCGATTGCGGTGCTAAGCATCTTTTTGATTCCGAGTTTAAATCTTAATCGATGCGAAATCAATTCCGATCATATTTCAGAAAAGTCCTACAAAGTCTTTTCTCTAAAAACCTACTCGTATTAAATTCGGATACGTTTAAAATAAAACTAATAAGCAACTTTAAGTTGATCTAAGTGTGGTAATTATAGCGGCGCGTCGTGTTAGCAGAGCGCGTAGTGATAGATCTGTTCAAAGAAAAAAAGCTTCTTTTTTAAATTAGTGTTCAATATACTTTTATAATTTTGCGAGCTGATGGACGTGATGGCTGGGGTTCGCTTCAAAAACGCTGGTAACAGAAAAATCTCGGGGCACGTAAGTGTTATCATTTTTGTTCGTAAATTCCCAGTGCCGAAAGGAAATTCTATAAATTCATACTAACCCGTTTTCATTTCAACCGTAATTCGTGTTATGAAATCTCAATGAAAAAAAGTTTGCTCGAAGTATTAGGGCGATACTAGTTGATGGGATAAATTAGGCTTTGGCCTAAACAGTGGTCTTGATAACTTACACTCCACGGGTTTTATATCCAGAAAAAACTTATTTGCTGGTTGAAATTGCGTTTAGTGTGTATATAAAATACATTGGAATAGTTTTCCAAATTCACCCAAATTTCATTTATTCTACACCGAGTTGTCATATTTTACCTTTTTATTAATAAAAAGATTATAATGCCATTACAGTAGAATACTGTAAGCCCATTTGTCAACAAAAAAATCCTCAATTGCAAAATGTTTTCTAATACTCATATCTTAACTAGGCTGTAAACTGCTTAGCCATCACTTTGAGGGATCTGCGGCAGATTACCAAAATGCACCACAACTTTGTAGGGTAGAAACGAGAACTTAAAATTAAACTTATATTGCAAATGCATCGGCCGAATAACAGAACCTCCAAGTTTTAAGTTCACATTTCCCATCTGAACTAATGTCCTCGTCATACTATGTACTTAAATAGAATTATCTACCCAACTTTGAATACGCAAACAAATTTGATCTTCCCACTATGGCCAGAAGTGCTATACTTTGAATCACTGAAATAGACTCAGAGTTTTTTTTTTTTTTTTTTTTTTTTTTCAAAATAGTATTATAAACTTTAAAATATGAATGAAATATAAAAAAAAACTGATTTTCTAGATTTCTCCGAAGTTTTTTTTTTCAATTTTACACCTTTTTCTCGATCAATGAAATAGACCTTCAAATCTAAAAATAATTTAAATATATATATTTAATGTTATTTAAAATTAAACTAATAATGAGTGAAACCACCTTTGCTAAAAATAACTTCGAAAATACGTTTGGGAAGCGAATCGTAAAGCGACCTATGTTGAAACTTCAAAAAATTCATTTATTTGATAATTTTTTGTATAAAAGTACAAAGTGTCAGGAATATTTTCCCCAAGTTTCAAGTCGATCGAGACGAAACTGTGGAAATTAGAGAGTTTTATAATCCGTCGTCTTTGTCATGATAAACCTTTAAACTAGTTTTTCTCAAAACCACTTTATCGAAATCGGTAGTCAAAATTTCTCAACGACTATTGAACCGATCGAATTCAAATTTTCCACACTTCTGTTAAGCAAGTTTTTGTGGTCCCTGAACAATGGATTTATTTTATCCTTGATTTCAATTTATTTTACAAGCCAATAAGTGGTCTAATTTTATGCAAAAAATGACGTGTTTTGTAAAAAACGCTACAAAAAATTCAATATTTTCTTTTTTAATTTTTCCTCTTTCAGGGACAAGGAAAATTCACCTACTTTAAGAAAATATTTGGATTTTTGATTTCAGATAAAGATTGAAAATATATCATAACTTTCGCGAAAGCACCTTCTTGCGGACGGTCTACTTCACGACACTGCCAACGCCTTAACTTATACTGTTTTTCATTCAAATTTTCATCAAATTAAATCAATTATACACTTTATGTATTATATTTAAAAAAAAAAATAGAGAAAATGAGATAAAATAAGATTTGTTTTGGCCTTCAAGACCTATGTAACCTCTTAATGAAAGCTCTCCCATACAAACTTAGCATTTTTTAGCTTTATACAAATGTCGTCCACCCTTATAAACCTCTCTCGAGAGCCATCCAAATACATTCTCATTTTTATTGAGATCAGAAAAGTAAGGTGGTCACTTCATTAAAAGAGCATTTTCAACGGCGATCTACTTTTTTACTACTCGAGCGTTATGGTGCTGAAAAGCTAAAGATAAACGCTCAAAAATGTTCATGAGTTGGGGAAACACTTTTTGCAGAACTTCCATGTAACTCTTGGCATTAATTTTGGCAGAAACTAATTCAATTTCTGCCGTTCTATAGTAGCAGTTGGCGCCCCTCATTATTATGCCACCCTCACGACTAAGGTAACGAGTCAAACGATGTTTCCTTTTGAAACCATCTGAGGCATCCAAATTAAAGCGTTTTTCGTGTGAAAATACGGGCTGCGGCTAAAGTCGAGTGAGTTTCTTGCAGGCTTCAGTTAGCGGTCTACTGATGACGCCACTGTAGCTCTAGTGAAGTCAAAAATTGACGAAGACCATCGATCGAAACAAGAAATGGTTGCTAATGAATTGAGTTTGAATGCCATGGCTTTATAGCGAATATTAAGTAATCATCTGCGATACACAAAGAAATCTGCCCGATGGATACCACGCATTTTAAATGAAACCCAAAAAGAAGCTCGAGTGCATTTTGCTCAATTCTACCTAAACGAATTCGAAAACGATCAGTCTAGAAACTTTAGTTAGGCCGTTACTGGTGTCGAATCTTGGTTCTATAATTACGCTCCAGAAACCCAACAGCAGTCGGTGGTATGGAGCCCAATAGAAACAAACACATCCATAAAATCTAAGCAACGGAAATCAGCTGCAAAAGTAATGATGTCAGGAAAAGGGGGCAGACGGTAACTGCCAAATGGTACACAGAAGAGTTCTTACCAAAAAATTTGTTGGAAAACAGGAAGAAAAAGGATTTGCGACGCTGCATCCGCGACATCCTACACTGCTGATATAACGAGTAATTCTAATACGATCTCTGAAATCGAAAAAATACGTCCAGCATCATAGTCCCCGGATATAGCACCTTGGGATTTCTGGTTAGTTCCAAAAATTAAAAAAGAAATTAAAATGAAAGGACGAGGAGATAAATAACGCGGCTAACGCTGAACTTCTTGATAAGCTTGAAAAGCATGATTTTAAAAACTGTTTTAGAAGTTGATATATAGGCTTAAGAAATGGCGATTATGTAAAGAAGATAAAAAAGTACAAAAATTACGAATAAATACCAAAAAAAATAGATTTTCTGTTTCGATGACTTTTATATTTGTATATACGCTTGCTTTCTTGCAGAATTTATGACTCTAATTCTCAAATTTGACAAATACAACTGTGTAACAAATTTTCTTGAAATATCTTAAAAACTGAGTAACCAGTTTGCTAACAAGCTGATGAACCAACGGACATGACTTATGCAATTTAACTCCTCATTTGGATCTTACTGATATATGTAAGTTCTTTACTGTATTTTCCCAATCTCTTTTTAGTACCTAGGACCGACTTAAATATAGGGCCGACTGAAATATGAAAACTGATGATACTTTTTTTTGTGGGAGGACAAGAATTGGTTAATTTATGAGTCTTAGGAAGTATTAAATAATTACTCTGTGGAAAATGTCTTCTTCTTTAATTTCAAATCATTATTCCGAAAAGTGTTTGGTAGACTAGTGGAATTAAATTAATTGGAGGTGTACGAAATTCAAACAAATTCAATTCAGTGACGCGATATAAAGCAAAGCGAACATAATAATCAAGCAGCTAAAGAAAATTATTGTCAAACAATAATAGAAAATAGAATTAAAAAGTTAAATTAACTTTTCATTAGCGGCAATTTTTTTGGACGAAGTGAAGATTTCATTTCATATTCTTTGCAAAAATAAAAATAAAAATATTTTCAGTTTTATTTTTATATACATATGAAGAGTTCCAGCAAAATATTCGAAAAACAAAATTGCAAATATAGGCAAAAATAAATAAAATGAAACAATTAAAATATGTATTTATACAAATATGTGTTTGTTTTATTTGAAGTTCAAACATCTCGTGGTTTTTTTCACAAATATTATGTATGTAAATCGTTAAGTGATTGCAAAATATTAGAAAAAAAAATTCGCAATTTACAGTTAGAAAATATCTATATGCGCTAGTTCTAAAACATTTTATGTACGAGTACATACATAGGTTCATACAACTGTACATATATAAGTTACATACACACATATATTTACCTACATATGTATGTACGTTTCCTCTAACGCATTTCTTCTTTTTGCTCCTACTTTTGTGTTTGTATACTGTCATATGATTTACTTTATTGAAATACATACATATTCAATGCATATATGTATTTACATCATTTAGCTTGCTGTTAATTACTTATAGCTTATTACGCATAATACAATAATAAAAAAATCAACTTTACAATGATAATAATATTTAATAGTAATAATAATAATAATAATAATAATAAAAGCAAATTAATTTATTTTAACTTAAATTTGTTAGTACAAATTTTGCATTTACTTCAATATATTTCATAATTGTTTCATTGTTGTGTTTCTCTCATTCTGTATAATTGTGAATACGTTTTACTTGCTGCAAGCTTAAATATAATTTATTTTTTATAAAATTAATGTAAATAAAAATATATAGGTATGATTTATATTTAATATGTTTTTTTTGTTTTTTTTTAATTAACATTAAGAGTACAAATATTTTCATCAAAGGCTTTTTTCTTTGTGTGTATACAGTTAGGTATGTGTGGGTGGATTTTCTTCTTCTTTTATTTTATTTGCATTTTTGTATGTGTGCGGGTGCTTTTATAATAAATTATATTTAGTTAAACATATCGGTTATTTATTTGTATTATATACTCGGTATATTGGATGTGTTTCTATGTGTGCAAGTCATCCGGAGTATGCCTCCAGTATTCAGATAATGATTTTACTGTGTTTGCTGTTGTATCTCAATTTTTTCCACTGTCATGTCTGGATTCATAGCTGTCGCTTCCTGTTTTTATTTTTTTTTTCGTAAAGAATAATAGAAAGACATCAAACAGTTTAGCACATAAAGTATTGAGGAAATATCATTAATTATGTGATCTCACCTGAATTGCTTCAGCCAACGCTTTGTCATGATCAATTGGATCGCCATCGGATTGTATGGTGATCTTCTGCTCCACTCGGGTTTCCACTATGCCATCACGCTCGGTTTTATACTGTAAGTACAAAACATACAAACATATAAAAACTGATATCTAAATTGATTAATATTTGCGGGCTTTCATATTATTTGTACGGAGCTGTGTAAATAAAAATTAAATACTTATTGGCTGTCAACTGCCAATAGCAGTAATCATTCTTTTGAACATTCACATTTCAAACCGCTCCCGACTGAGAACTAAAAAAATTTGTCAGCATTTCTTTGTATTTTGTTAGTGTTCTCAGAGAAGTTAAAGCTGGTATCCAAAAGTTCGAAAAAACGTTTTCAACGGCTAGGTGCTCGAAGAAACGAATGGCAGTCTCAACTAAGTTCAAACAAAAAATTATCCATATTCCATTACCCGAATGCAATGTTTTAAATTCTTCTGCTATAGCTTAGAAACCACTTGCCTGTTTGCAACTAAGAAAAACATATGCAATACAAGACAAGTTTTAAGAAGTGGAAATTACTATAGTAACTTTGCTTTGCTGTGTAAGCAGTACCTATTGGGATGTTACCGCAGAGAGCGCCCCAATAGGCACGTAATAGAAGCTGAACCACCACCTAGGCACACCAGAAAGGGAGTACAAGATTTAAAGGACAGGACAGCGTAGAGACAAGCACTGAACAACATTCACCAGCAGTCAGTCAATACCTTCAAAGACGTGCTCGGAGTAAAATCACCACCCATAGCAGACAACGAGCTCGCGCTGCCTCGAGAGACTCGCGTGACTTTGGCACAACTCAGGTCTGGATATTGTGGCAGGTTAAACTCCTATTTATCCAGACTCGACCCCAGCACATCCAACATATGCCCCGCATGTGGAGAGTCTCCGCATTATACTAACCACCTCTTCACATGCCACCTTAAACCAACTCATCTAACACCCCTCTCCCATTGGTCCAATCCCGTCGAAACAGCTCGTTTCCTGGACCTCCCGTTAGGTGACCTCGGCGACTCAGATTAATCAAACGTGTACCTAAGCGAGTTTAGCGAACCTCTACAACAACAACTATAACAAACACATGTTTTTCTTTTCGACTCGCACCCACGCACTCGAATATCACATGAAAAAAGTTAAATGTGAGATAAAACCACATAAGAAAGGAAAACTCTTTAGATTAAGGACATTTTTTAGTGAACACAAGGGACTCTCTCTCTTCCGAGTCATATTTATCGTAACCCTGGAGAATATAGTAAGAAATGCTGATCTTAAATAAGACTGTCGAATATACTATAAATCACACGCCGATGAGAGAGGTATCAATAAATTCAATACTCAAGCCCTTAATTATGCGTTTTATAAACGGCGAGCAAAGAAAATGGTTTCAGTAGCGAAACAGTACCGAGCTGAAGTCTCTCCGTAGTAGCACGAGCTATAAGACAATGCATTGTTCGATTATATCATAATTTGAACGTATCGTTTTAAAGTTTTCTTTATATGAACATAAGATTGTCTAATTTGAACAATCTCCGCATAGTTTTCTCCACTTTTGTACTTTGAGAAGTTCATAATTTGTAGAAGATTACAGTCTCGTAAAAGATACACTTAGCGCTCTTCTTATCTAGACACGTGAAATAACACCGAGAACTTAGCTTTCATAAAGCTCTATTTTCGATTATTTGCAGCAGACATATCGCGTTCAATATCCTCTCCACGGCGTTAATCGTCTCGGGCTAATCTACGTCCAAGGGTGTTAAATCGAACAACCTTGAAGGCCACGCCACAAGCACAAGGCGTGAGATAATGCGCTCACAAAAATTTCCTTCAAATGTGCGCCGTCTTTTTGCAATCAAAGGTCTCTTACATCAACATCTTCCGAACCAGTCACGAAAAGGTCAAAAATCAAGGCTATATAGCATTCCCCATTGACTGTAACGTTAGGGCCGGTTTCGTCTTTGAAGAAATATGCCAAATAGCATACCAAACAGTTACTTTTTGAGGAAGTAGCGGCGTCTCAACAATGTATTGTGGATTATTATTACAATTGGAGAAAAGATCGGCCGAAAATCACTTCAGCGGTTGCAAAGCTTCAATTACATATATAAAACAATTTTTTTTATTTTAGCTTTGATTTAATCAATAACAGAACCTCACTTAATGCTTTCACCATCATCGTTAAATTATTACCATACAAAATACCGAATTCAGAACAAACCCAGAACCTCTTTAAATACTACGGAATTGAATACATATACGAGTATATACACAACGTAACGTTATACATACGTGGCAATGACAAACATTTTTCAAACGACTTTGGGACAAACAATATAGAAATACATATGTATGTGTGTATGTATGTATATACAATGGAACACAGAATATGAAATAGCAAACATTTTAAAACATTACAAAAATTACAATGCAGATCATCGATTCGGCCAGTGCCGAAGATCAATACCCAAAGCAAATTACAAATCAACCATTATATGATATAAAGGACTATGCAAACTGATTCTATGCACGTCCTTCAGGAATTTAGAAAACTGAATTCTGGAGTTTTTAGAAAGGCGTTAAAGCAGACACCCTCATTGAGTCAGTTGGTACACTACGAAACGTCTTTCACTTAAGTCGTTCGGAAATCAAGGTTTTTGAGACTAACAGGCTTATTCCGTAGAGGTAATAAAATTTACTTCGGTATTAAAATTTGTCATTCAGTAAATTTTGTTACTATTGGTTAAGCGCATAAGTTCGTGCCCGATTCCGCTGGTTGCCGTTCGAATCGTTTGAGAGTGGCGCTTGTGAAAGAAATACATATTATATATCGTTGGAAAGGTGACAGTCCGAACTGTAAAATTTGAGTTGCTTAGTGAAAAGACGCATGGAAGATGGACAACGAAAAAGATCATATGCGTCATATTATGTTATACGAATTCCGCAAAGGAAAAACAGTAAACTTCCGCTGCAACTAAAGGTATTCGCGAAGTTTATTTGGACCGTGCTCCAGAACTCCGCACAGTAAAGAAATAGTTCGCGAAATTACGTTCTGGAGATTTTAACCTCGAAGATCAACTTCGCAGTGGACGGCCTTTTGAGCTTGATGACGATGTTCTAAGGACTTTAGTTGCGAATAACTCACGTATTTCGACGGAAGAGGTTGCCAGTGAATTGAACGTCAACAAATCAACTGCGTTTCGTCGTTTAAAAAAGGTTGGGTACACTTTGAAGCTCGATACATGGGTGCCACATCAGTTGAGTGAAAAAAACAAAGTGGACCGTATGTCAACAGCAATTTCTTTGCTTCGACGGATCAAAAACGAACCTTTTTTGGATCGGCTCGTGACTGGTGATGAAAAATGGATCCTGTACAACAATGTTCAACGCAAAAGAACATGGAAACAGGCACACGAAGGGGCGGAACCGATGTCGAAAGGTGGATTGCATCCGATGAAGGTACTGCTGTGCATTTGGTGGGATATCCGAGGCGTGATCTATTTTGAGCTCTTGCCAGCTGGAGAAACGATCACTGCCAACAAGTATTGTCAGCAATTGGTCGAATTGAAGAAAGCAATTGATGAAAAACGTCCGATTTTGGCCAATCGCAAAGGAGTTCTTTTCCATCATGACAACGCCAGGCCACATGTTGCAAAACCGACCCTGGCCAAACTGAAGGAGATGAATTGGGAAATCATGCCGCATCCCCCATATTCACCCGACATTGCACCTTCTGATTATCATTTGTTTCGATCGCTGCAGAACAATTTGAATGGAAAAAAATCTAAAAATGTGGAAGACGTCAAAAACCACCTTGACACCTTTTTCAACGAGAAACCGCGCGATTTCTATGAATCAGGCATCCGTAAATTGGTTGAACATTGGGAGTGGATTGCCGAACATGATGGGCGAATACATAATTGATTAATAAAAGCGCTTTCTTCAAAAAATTTCAATTTTAGTTTGCACTTGAAATCGGACACAAACTTATGCACTCATCCAATACCTCGTATTCTGAGTTCACTGTGACCCTATAAATTTTGTTACCAGCGAAATAGGAGGTAACAAAAAATCTGCTGTTTGATTTTGTGTTGTTAGTTTTGAGAAAAAAAACCAAAATGCGTAGGCATATTTTAGGCCTGGAATTCATCAAAGATGAAGAAAATAATGCAAAAGTCCTTATGTTAAAAAGTTTGCGAGAAACAAATGACCCTTTTTATTTGGAAGATAGGATTTTCATTCATCTTTTTTTTGTCGTGTAGGCGTATTTTCCAAAATTAGGTTCAAATATTTAAGATTTAATAAACAAATTAACAAATAATTTTAATATTTTTGTACACCGTTTTCCATTTCGATGTGAATATTTTTCTCTTTACTTTATCAACTGACAAATGTAATTTGACATGGACGAAGAAAGCAGTGTTGCCAAATTTTTTTCAAACATTGTAACCAGTTCGCCAGAATACCAAATTCAATTTCGGGTGTTAAAAAATAGTAACAAAATTTATTTTACTGGTAATAGTAAGAATAGGCCTATAAGAGTGAATTTCCAAAGAAAATTCAAATAAAAGCTCACGTTTAATTTCGGATTTTTAATCAGCTTGTGGCAGTTTTGGGATAACCACATTTTAAACATGACCAATAAATAAGTGACTGTGATTGTTTCCGGAAGTTGTTTGCCATGTTTAATGATGTAAATAAATATTTTTTTGGAGGTTCATCAAGGAGGAAGTCGTTGAAGAACCTTGTGTAAATAGACGAGATTGGATATTGTTTCTTGTTTTTCATGGGAAAGGGCTGCAAAGAGATTTGAGCCGTAATCTAACAGTATTTCAAAATGGTGGACCAAAGAAATGCCAATCGAACTACTCGAAAATGTTCGAAAAAAATCTTGAGCTCTACTGCCTATTGACTTTCATACTGAAATCTTTAGTAATTTTCAGTGTAAATGCTAATTTTAAGTAATCTATTGTACAAAAAATGCCACTGCTGAAAAATTTACTTTTCGTCCCCTACAACCCCCTCAGAGGTTATGAGTTGATGTGTTTTTTGGACGATGACGACGGACCAAGCTTTTTGATTATTGCGTTTCCAGTTTTTAATTTGAAAATTATGTAAGATAAATTACCATACAAATCTTTAATAGTACTTGACTTAATCCCGGTTTGGTTGGCATTTCATAATAAACAGATTTACTTCGGAACGGTGATTGCAAAACGGGCAAATTTGTTACTAAAATAATGGTTCGGCTCGCGGTGCGGATTGCAAAAAACCGATGAGGCCACTTTTGGTTGAATAAATACGTTAATAAACAAAATAGTCGCTTTTTTAGTGATAATATTCCACACGCCACTGTTTAGACGACGGTACATCGTCAAAAAGTTGCAGTTTGGTTCACATGTCTTCAAAAGGAACCCGGCTATAATGTAGCAGTCAATGGAACGCTAGAGAGTCATGATCAATGACTTTTTCGTGACTGATTTGGACGCAAGACAGCGCGACATGCCATACAGCCAACGAAATAATTAATTTATTGAAGCAACCCTTTGGTGAAAACTTTATCTCGCATTGTGGATCTGTGGCGTGGCCTACAAGATCGAGCGATTTTATAGCGCTTTACTATTTTTTGTGATTTATAGGAATTTGCTTTTCTACGCAGAGAAGTCCAAGAGGATTAACGTGTGGGAAGAGAATATTTGGCTCGTTATTGCAGACAAAGAGCAAACTCGGCATTGCTACAAAAAGTGGTCGGAAATTGTTCCTCCTAGTTGGAATTTGTTCGAACAAGTCGCAAAGGTCTCTTACCGGAAGCCATTTTAAATCCGTTATATTTGTTATAAATCTAATTTCATGGCCGTAATATTGAAATATATTTCCGCTTTATTTCTTCTTCAAAATCACATGTCTAAAAAAACACCCTTTTTATTTATTTATTTCTTGTTATGAGAAATCGTAACAATAACTTTTCATAAAGTTATTGGGAAAGGGAAATTAAGGAACAGAGTGACAATGGAAATTAGATAGTTTCCGTGGATTAAATTTTAACCAGAAAAAAATAGTTAATCGGCACTAGACTGGCTTGTTGCATTTGAGTTTGAACCCTCTTACTCTCTCTTACTTTTCATACCTATCGTTAGAGGATCTCAAATTTTCAGCAAGTGCTGAGGTACACAGTTATTTTATTTTATGAAGCCTCATTATTCTTGGTGCCGATAGGCAATCTTAATTTTCATTGGTTAAATGATACATACAGTATGTGCTTTGAGTATTGTCTTTGTGAATAAGCAAATAATTGAAAATTTATTTCCATTTTGGTTACAACTTACGGTTATGGTCTCTACAGTGCGCGTTTTGCTGCTCAACGTTTGTGTTGAAACAATTTCGCCATGTCCTGAGTAGCCAGGGGTGTCCTCACCTAATATGACGCGGGTCTGTTCAACATGTGGGCCGGTGGTGGTCGTGGTAGCAGGGAAGTTTCCATATCCCTGAAATTGTTAAAAACTTGTATAAGTTTTGGCATAAATTTATACACAAAGTGAAGTGGCCGAGAATGAATTGAAATCGATGAGTTACGGCTATTACAACAAAGATAATGAACGCTAAATACTAATAATATTTATGTAGGTACATATGCATGTATATAATGCTACAGATGGTAGATTGGAAAGTGAGTGCGAAAATGATGTTTTTCATGGTTGGGTTTTTTGTGTTGTTTTTATTGAGCACAAACCTTTATGTTCGAGGTACGCACCACACTGGACCCATCATATGGGCCATCGATGGGCGTGCCCGAGTCGCCAGAACTAGTCGATGAAATACTATCTCCACGGTCTCGGAACTACAGTTTACGGTTTTTATTTCGTTCAAATTATATTGCAAACACATTCCAAACACAGGACGGTTTATTAGTATCATTTCATACAACAGAACAGTTAATGCATTTTACGAGTACGGCAATCAATCAATCAATCAATCAAAATAGGCGATTCAATGCGCAAAGGAATATACATATAAATATAAAATAATGCAAAATAAAGAAAGTAAATTTAATTTAATTTTATGAACACAACTTTTAAGTAATTTAAGTAACATGCAGATAAATTATGTAAAAAGAAATGAGCATGCAACGCTGAAAAAGAAGATGCCACAAAACTTGCTAGCCCTGCGGCACTTCCTTCCGCTCGTCACGCTGTCACGTCTCGCTCGTTGCTGGTTATTGCTTACCTGATCGCCGCTGGTGACGGTGGCTGTGGTCTTCACTTCCTGTGTGACGACACGTTGCTCCTGTTTGTTGGGATCGTGAGTACGTGTTGTTGCCACCGTCTTCTCTTCGAGCTGTTCGGTCTTGGCCTTCTTGCCCAGATCTTCATGGGTCGTGGCTGTGCGGGTGGTCACGGCTGTGGCAGTTACATAAGCTCCGCTTACATCGGGTTCAGCCTGGTTAGTTGGTTGTTTATTGGTTTTTCAATGCGCAATTTTTCAATGGATAATAAAACATAAATACACAACAAAAGGAAATGAAAGCAAACCAGGATGTTTAAATGATTAGAAATAAAAAAAAATTAAGTAAAATATTACAAAATGAAAGTTCCCTTATGCTTTGGTCAGTAAGCGCGCTGTATTAATACTGGATGTAACCCAAGAGTTTACGCAGTTTTCTATCTCTTTTATTCAAAAATTATCAAAATTGTATTTTCTTTTTTATCGAAAATTTTTATTTTAGGGCTATTGAAATAAAATTTCGGAAGAATATTTTAAAATCATATATATGACACTGATGAGTCTAGCGACCACTACGGTTCCGGTTAAATGTTGAGGAAACATGTGATTTCAAAGCAAAATAACGATTTCTGTTCTCGATCCAATCTTCAATTTCTACAAAAGACCCGAACCGGCGGCCTCCAAATCGTTTTGCATAAAGCAAGGTCTGGAGAATGCGACAGTTGGGGTAAGACCCCATATTTCAGCGTTTTAGAGGTAGTTTTTGACTATTTAAGCAAAGTGGGGGCGAATGCTCTCATATTGCAAAATCACCTTGTCATACCTTTCAGTTTTTTCTGGTCGTTTTCCACGCAATGCTTGGGACAAACGCATTACTTTAAGTCAATAATGTTTTGCAATTTTTCATCTTAAAATTTTTTTGGTTGGACAAAATACTTTTTGTCTTCGTCATTAAAATCACTTTTGAAGTATCGAAACTACTATCCGCATGACTAAAAAGTCGGCGTAGATGCACCATTAACTTCCACAAGCATTCTTTCTTTCAATTAAAATATAAATCAAATTTTCCAGTACAGATCCGAACTTTTTCGATGAAGAAAAAACCTTGCGATTGTCCGAAACAGACGCTTATCGTTGACAGATGTGAAATAGATAATCGCTTCCACGATCCGCCACAATTTGCAGGTGGCACCATCTTCCGAGAACGGACTTAAGAGCGGAAAGTTTCCGGAAATTGTCATTTAAACTGACCTCACTTTTTTTGTTAAGCTGTCCTTAATTACTATGCCAAAAGTCCCGCCGCAGCTATTGAAATAAGTGGACCTCAGTTGCCTCGACGAATTTTCTTTTACCGTCTCAGTCGACTCGAAACGGGTTCCATAGAGTAGTAACTTGAGTTTTGGAAACAAAAAAGTCGCATGGGGCCAAATCCGGTTAATGCGCAGATTTATCGATGGTTTTCAACGAGATTTGGTCCTAAAATCGCTCACAACTACAGTGCGGTGCGATGGCGCATTATCATCATGAAAAATCCATGAATTCTTGGTTCACAATTCCGGCCGTTTACGAAGGATGTTTTCGCACAAGCACCTCAAGACGTTAAAATACTACTCTGTCTGTCCCATTATAACGAATTCATGATGAACCAAACCTCGAATATCGAAAAAAAACAATTTCCGGGAACTTTCTATTCTCCAAGTATATACGATCGCTTAGGCTTAACTTGAATTTATTCAGGGCTAAAAAGATCTTTTCCACGTATTTAATTACCAAAGGCGCATTCAGATACAGGAATTGATGATGGCATCGTAGCAAGAAACCCACCATTTGAGTCCCCTTTAACACCACGCGATCGCTACCGGGGTTTCTAACCGAAATTTGTAATAGTAAGGAGGCAGCAGAACACCAGATTGGAGATAAATTCATGGTCAGGAATGCCCTTGTGTTTAACGCCAGCCAAGCAACGATTAAAACGATTAGCTCTCTTATTGGAAATTCAGACACTGAGCTGGCCTGCGCTAATCCCTACCCGATAGTCAGTGAAATGTGCTACTCAGTGAAATTTATGGATCGGGTCTTCAACGCGATACCATAATGGCCGAGCTCTGGTCTGAGTGTATTGATACTTCCATATCGGTAGCTACTCCTACGTGCCCAGCTACTTAAAAGTATTTAAAATGAAAACACTAACTGAGTATTGTCAGACCAATTATAGATTCCGTGGATGTAAAAGACAATAAGGGAAAGTGATTCGTATATTAACAAAAAAAAAATCTGGGACTTAGGTCTCCCAATGCGATTACAATGTATTGGATGAAATTTTTGCAACATTTAAACAACAACAAACTCATAAAATTAAAATCAAAATCATGCGTCATACTTACATACTTTCAAAATTTTCTACAATACTAATTTACGGTTACTTACGTCATTCTCAAAAATTTAATTAGAGATGTGCCGAAAAGGGCAATGTAACGGTTGGGGTTAATGCTAAGTTTTTTTGTATGGAAATCAAAATTTTGTAGGTAATTAAAAATCTATAATGCAGCAAATTTCGAAAACTCACTACTTACGATTGTGAGTATAAAATAATAATTTTCTCACTACCAAAGAATTTTTCTAATTTCTCTAAAAACTTCAAACGCTGTGTAACTACCAAAGGTGCGCCAAACTAACTATATGCACGTATGTATGGATTTACTAAGTCACTCGCTAACCTTGTGTTCCTGCGTTGAATAGGTGACTTCGCCAGTACCCAAATTTCGCACCTCCTCTTCTACGTTATGCGTCACACCATCGTCGTTCTTGGTCAGCACCTGTTTGGTGGTTGTCTTCACCACCGTTGGTGTGCCGAATTTGCCTGCTTGTTTTGTTGTGGTCGTTGTTACTGTTGTACCATCCGCTTGCTTGGGACTATTCAGCACCATGTCCTTAATATTCTCACTGCCATACTGTTGTGTCATATCATCATCGGAACTGGCCTCAGAATCGCGCCGTAGCGCATTTTTGCCCATATGTTTAACGCCTTCAAAGAATTGCTCCCGTGTTATTGGAACGGTTTCGGTTGTTGTGCTGACTTGTGCCTCCTTGCCGAAATGCGATGGATCGATTTGTGCGTAATTAAGAATAAGTTTGCCGGTTACAGGATCGCGTACTGCTGTAGCGGGATCGATGTCGCCTGTATTTGGATCGATGTCGCCATATTCGCTCTTGATACGTCCTGTCACTGGATCAATCTCGCCGGTCAGTGTCATGGTTTGAGTGACGGTGGTGCGTGCGCCCGCAAAACGTGGATCATTCGGATCAACCTGTACAATTTCACCTGTTACTGGATCTATCATAGTATAAACATAAACAGTTTTATTGAAGAACTTGAGAATTCGACCAGAGACCGGATCTATTTCACATGTCGCTGGATCGATTTCTTCAGGTCGGCCACGTTCATCTGTTTTGGAAATGAGCAGTACACGAACAATGACAATTTTGCCAGTTTTAGGATCAACGCGTCCGACTTTGGTGTATACATCGCCGGATTCCGGATCAACTTGGGTGGTGGCATAGAGCGGTTCGCCTGTAGATTTGTCAACTTCGCCGGTAGCTGTGTATATCTTGCCAGAGGATGGTTCGATTTTGGTTGTGTTGGGGTCGAGTTTATTTTGCTTTTTGATTTCGTTCGTTTTCGGATCGAGGTAACCGTAAATTGTGATGACATAGCCGGTCTTTGGATCGACACTGCTGGAAATGTATTGTGACTCTTTTGTGTTTGGATCGCTAGCACCGGTGGGCATCCAAATTTGATTAGATTTCGGATCGACAATAATTTCTTTATCCTTTGCTGAGCTGACTTGTGCAATTGGTGCTTTCGTTTTGGGATCAACACGTTGTTGTACAATGCGCAGCGATATAATCCGTGCATAATCTTTATCGGGCTTGTTATTCTTGGGATTTATTTGGTTCTTAAGCACAATCTGACCAGTGGCTGGATCAATTTTGATATCACGTGTAACAGTTTTGCCCGATTTTGGATCAGTGAATGTGATTGTATGTTTAACCAAATCAATTTGACCGTATTTTGTGTCAATCTTGCCAGCCTTAGGATCAAATTGACCACCGGAAGTTTCAACTTGCGCTGTTTTGGGATCGATAATGTTTCTCTTCGAATCGTATTTACCGGCCAGCGAGGTAACTTCAACAATTGGATCGATTTGTTGTCCAACTTCAATGATGCGACCTTGCGTGTTATCCAACTTACCAGTTTTCGGATCTGTGACGCCCAATATGGTAATTTGTCCAGTGGCTGGGTCAACTTTTACATTCCTAGATACAACAATTTTGCCGGTCTTGGGGTCAATCGACTTCAGTTCACCTGTTCTAGTATTTATTTCACCATATTTGGTGTCGAGTAGACCGGAGTCTACATTCAGTACACCAAGTGAACGTTCAACTTCACCGTTGACGGTATCAACTTTACCTGTAGCCGGATCAATACGGCTGGTGATAACAATAAGTTCCACCACTGGATTATCTTGAGGTGTAATACAAATGATTTGACCCAAATTCTCATCCAAACGACCAGTATTAGGATCAGCCACTCCAGAAACCAAATGCACATTTCCAGTTTTGGAATCAACTTCCCCTTGGTAGATTTCATTCTTACCCGTCTTCGTATTCAAAGCCAATAAAGTGCCCTTTTGTGGATCAATTTGCCCATATTTACTATCTATCAAGCCGGTCTCAGGGTCTAGTATGCCCGTAGAGTGTTCAATGACACCGTTTTCAGCATCAATGCGCTTCGTGCTTGGATCAAATTTAGATGTGATTACCATAATCTTGACGCGCCTCTTCTTAGGTTTGGCAGCAGCGCCGACACCAGCAGCGCCGGCAGCTAAGCCTCCGCCAGCTTTTGTTGGTGTAACTGGGGTACTGCCTCTGCCCTTACCAGCAGCGCCAGCAGTGCCTATAGGTGTACCTGTACCATCTCTACTAGCTGCAGCAGCATTACCGGCTGCACCGACAGAACCAGCTGAAGGCTCTCGGTTGTATCGTTCGGATTCCAAGAAGGCAGCTGTTGGATCAACCAAAGGCTTATAACTGCCTGGGGCACCAGAAGTGTAACCGGCCGATTGACCCTTTGAAGGTGAATAAGAGCGTTTTTGCGCATCGGATAAGGGGGCAGCTGCCGCATCGACTGCACTACCTTGTAATTTAGCACGTGTGGTGGGTGATAGATTGCCCTCCTTTAATAGTTTAGCACGGCTTGTTGGCGACAATTGACCCTTATTGATTTTCTCACGAGTGCGTGGCGATAACTGGCCACTCTTCAACTTCTCGGCGGTCTTCTTTAAAGTATCATCGTGACCAGGTGCATAATTGAAGGCAATGGCTGTCTTCTTCTGTTCAGCAGTGGGCGACAATTGGCCGTCGCCATCTTGACCAGCTCGCTTACCACTTTGTGGGTCTTGATCATAACGGAAACCACCGGGAATGTATGATTTACGTGTTGGACTGGTTTCACCTGTGCCCTCGGAATATTCGTATGGTCGCGTGTGACCGGGTTGCCGTGAAACACGATCATTGGCTTTGTTATTCGAACTATCAAGTTGCAGATCAGCATAAACCAACTCACCGCTCTTGCCCTCTTTATCTTTGCCAACTTTGTCTTTGTCCTTAGATTCTTTTGTCGGAGAGCTGCTCTTACTCTTGCGACCGGACGAGAAAAGTCCACCACCCTGATGCGCCGAGAGTATATTGTTGTTTTTATTTTTTTTTCAGTTCAATTATTGACAATGCATCGGTTCATAAATATTTCCAACAGTATGAAGAAATAAAAAGAAAAATACAAATCAAAAGGGGATAAATAAAAATTTAATAATTTATGTAATCAAATTAAGAGATTTTGAAAACTTAAAAATATACTACAGGAATACATCTACCACATATTTACATATACATAAAGGGGCTCTAAAATCTACCAATATACTTTAACTTAAAATTAATTTAGGGATTTCAGAATTCAAGAACATATTGATGGGGGAGCGGGTTAAAGTGCTACAACTGAAAAAATAAAAAAAATAAGTCGAAACTTCTTGGAGACATCTATGCATTTTTTTGTAATGAGTCTTCTGTACACATACACAGTTACACCACATCGGATAACATAGGTTAAGGTTGTTCGTGCTTTGTACACCTTAACCATTTTTGGAGGGACGAGGGCAAACGCCTTTATTATCAATGCATCACTTGACAGATTAGAACTTTACCCTTATTTTTTATGTACAATGTGAGTATACATATATGCTAAACTACATTAGGAAAGTACTTACGCGTCCCTTGCCAGATTTCTCCGACTTGTTGGAGTCATCCAAATTGTCATTGCCTGCAAGAAAAATGAAAATAAGTTTTTGAATAAATCATTATTTCAATATTTTATAAAGCGCTTACCGTTAACACCTGCAGCGGCGGCGCCTGCAGCAATCTTGGCTGCTTTTTCTTTAGCGGCTTTCTCCTTGGCAGCTTTCTCTTTGGCCTCCTTTTCCTTCTTTTCACGTTCTTTGCGCTCTTTTTCTTCCTTCTCTTGTTGTTTTTTCTTCAGTTTGGCCTCCTTTTCGGCCTCGGCCTTTTGGTTTGACAAAAAAAAAATTGAAAAATTTAATTATTGTTGGTGTTATTTTTTTGTAAAGGGACATAGAATAATAGGAAGCAAGTCAAATTTTCGACAAAGCTGAGCTTATATTATTACTGTTCAAGCGTTTGCTGCATGCTTATTGCAATATAATAATGCTTTTATGTACATATATACATTCATACAAAAATAAACATGAATGTAAAGATCAGGCTTAAGTACGGATCTCTTTGATCTGTTGTTGTTTTTTTTCATTAAGTGTGCTTATAAATTTATATGTTTGTGTGTTACATATTGGAAGTATTAAGTTTGAGAATTTGTTTTATATCCTTCACTGTTCAATTTAATCATTTTATTTAGCTTATTTTTCTTTTATTTCTCTTTTATTATTTGATTTATATAATTTAATTATACCTTTATTTTGTTTATTTAATAATTAATTTATTTATTACTTTTTCAATTTATTTTATTTTTTTATTCTATTTGATTTTATTTTACTTTACGTTTATTAATTTTAATTGATTTTATTTTTTTATTTATTTGATTTCACATCATTTGTTTTTATTTTATGCTATTTAATATTACAATTAATTTCAATTTATTTCACATTTTTTTTACTCTTTTATTAATCTTAATCTTTTCAATAATTTTATTCGATTTTATTTAAATTTAATTTAATTTAATTTTGCCTCATTTCGTTTTATGATATTATATTTTATTTTATTGTTTTAATTAATTTTATTTTTGATTTTATATTGAAAGTTTATTTCGCTTCGCTTTATATTATTTTAATTAATTTTAATTTATTATTTATTTTATTTATTTTATTGTATTTTATTTTATACTATTTTAGTTACTTTACTTAAGTTTATTTTATTTTACTTTATATTATTTATACATTTAAATTTATTTTACTCTATTTTATTTTTATTATTTTGTTTGTATTTAAATTATTTATTTTAATTGATTTTTTTTTTATTTTATTTCATTTTATGTTTTTCGTTTTTAGTTTATTTCATTTTATTTAAATTTATTTTTATTTTTTTTATTTTTTTATTTGATTTAATTTCGCTTTACTTTTTTTCTTTGTATGTATTTTATGTTAATTGATTATATAATATTTTTTTACTTAATTCATTTCATGTTATTTGCTTTTAGTTTAGCTAATTTTTTGTCACTATTCATTCTAATTTATTTCAATACAATTATTTTTTTATCAATTTTATTTTATTTTGTTTTTTTTTTTATTTCATTTTATTTAATTTTTTTTTATTTTATTTTATTTTAATCTATTTCATTTTTTTATTTATTAATATTTATTTTATTTAATTTTACTTTATTCATTTTATTTTATTTTATTTTATTTTATTTTATTTTATTTTATTTTATTTTATTTTATTTTATTTTATTTTATTTTATTTTATTTTATTTTATTTTATTTGGTTTTAATTTTTTCGTAAGTTTTATTTTATTTTTTTATTATATTATGTTATCAGTTTAAATTTCGTTTTTGTTTTAATTTATTTCATTTAATTTTAGTTTATTAATTGATACGTATGTACATCATATAAAATTCTAGTATTGGGGTATTTTGTATCCTTCCAACCACCCGGTACTAACCAAAAATTTTTGATTTTAAAGTAATAAATCAAATTTTAATGATAAAAGATTAAAACATTGATGTGAATGTATATGTTTGTATGTATATAGTATATGTACTTATAAATTAATGACAATAAGGAAAATAAACATAGATATATGCATAGAAGTCTGAAACATTTAAATATCTACTATGTACATGTAAAATGTGTGTATGCGGTGTGCGTATATATTTTCTATAAGTATATTAACAAAATTTTGCAGCTCCAATATTTTGGACGTTTAAGCCAATCGAATGAGTTTTCGAATTAAATGCAGGTACATATATGTACATATGTATGTATGTATGAATATATTAGCAGATTATGCAGATTATACTGGACAACAAATATATTGGGACAATTATCATTGGGTCAACATTTATACGATGATTAAGTAAGGATATATTTGGAGTTTTGATCAATAGATATTTTACATCCATATAAAGAGATATATATGTTTAACAGCCATTTTGAAAACTTCAATTTAGATTAAAAAATATAGAAAAAAGAATTCGTAAAGTAAATAACAATCAATGGCAGATGAATAAAATTTATATAATAATTTAATAAAAGAAGATATTTTTATTTGTAGTATTAAAAGTGGAGTCTTTGGGGTTATGTCCATATTTGAGAAAATTGCAATTCAAATTAATAAGCCAAAAGTAAGCCTAACTGAAATTTATTTGAAATATGTATTATATGTCTTGCTCTTATTTACTTCCTATACTGCGCAATTAGTATTATTAAACCATATAAAAAATTAACTACTTGCGAGGATAGTTTGTAAAATAAAATTTTTTTGAAAATTAAATAATAAATATACTTATTTCTGTTACTGACATATAAATATATATGGCTCTAGTTCTTTTCCTTTTTTTCTTGAGGAGTAGGTTCTCTCTAGAGCCTCAAAGACTTTCTGGTGGTTTTTTTTGGTGTCAAACAACATTTTTCGGTTAATCCTAAATGTTATCAAGTACTTTCATTTTACTCTTTGGATATCACTGACTCTTCTTCTTCTTTCTTTAAATATTAAGTTGTCTTATTGTTCAAACAAAGATTTTAGTATTTGTTAAAGAATGGCATATTTTGCATTTACATATTAGATTGAAAAGCGCAAGCTAGTAAATATTTAAATTATAGAGAGTTTGGTATTAAAGGAACATAATTAATTTCATTAATGGAAAAAATTCTTGTTTTAAAAAATATTGATTTTTTTTATTTCTTTTTTAATTTTTCTTTTTGATTTAAATTTCATATAATTTTTGCTTTCAGCAAAGAACTGTCGTGGTAATGAAAATTGATTTGACCCACAACACGAAAAAGATTATTTCTTAAAATATTACTTTCTTGTTTGCAATCGATTGAGGAAGAATGTGAGGGCTCACCGAATGTGAAGTCCAATTTCAAACAATTTTAGAAATTCAATTTAGGGTTTAAAAGAGCACTGTCGGTGTCTAACTAGTATTGTTCTATACACACCAGGCGGGAACTCAAATGAAACTGGTTGTAAGAAACCTTAACAACAGATGTAAGACAAATAGTAAAGTGGTAAGACAATAGAATTGGTAATGAACAAAGGACACTTAAAGTTCAGTTTGAAAAGTACGCAATAATAAATAAAATAGATATCTAAGTACATAAAGAAGAAAAAAATAGAATATAAAATAGCAAGTAATGTTTCATAACTGTAAAAAAAAATGAGTACAAGTTAAATACTCTATTGTTGTATTGTATATACGATAATAACTATCATAAGTATGGAAGAATAGAAATTGGCTGTTGAAAATGAAATTAACCTGATCTTTGCCGAGATAAGCGACTGCCGAGGCGGACTCGCCGGCTGCGACATCAGCACCGGTATGGGTCGAATAATCACCTTCGAGTGAACTCTGCGAAGAGGCGGAAGCTGTACCAGTGCTCGATTCACGTTTTAACTACGATTTGGTGTTATTTGGATCAAATGTTTTTTTTTTTGGTTTTAATTTGTGTGATGTGCACATTTTCATATACATATGTATTTGTTTGGTTAGTTAATGTTAATAGGTATATGAAATATAGGTATTTTAATATATAATAACAATTTCGAATTTCATTTGTGTTGGCCCATGGATCGTTTTAATATTTTTTTTTGTTTTAAGTAGTTAACACAGTTATAAAATATCAGTTCGATGTGGTAGAGTGCATTTGTTGTTTTTGTTTTGTTTTAGAATTTTTCACAGCATTATTTTTGATTAAACAACATTAAATTGGCGTTGTTGTTGATATTTTGTTTGTTGTTTTTGTTTGAATGTAGTTAGTGAAACGATTAATTTGTGTAATATTAATTACAGAAAGAAAACAAACCGAGAAAAAGGTAAGAAAATAAATATTGTCAGTAAATTTTGAAAAGAAAATTGTTAAAAAATATACATACATATTATTTTTGAAAAGAAAAAAAAAATCAACAAAAAGAAATTTCCAAGGGAAGTTTTTCTCCTAATTTGAGTTCTTTGGGAGTAAGTACACAAAAATATACCTTCTCTTTCTTATCCTTCTTCAATGGACTGCGACTGTGTGGTGAGTCAAAATCGGGAATGTGCTCGGGTGGATGTCCCATTGTGTGACGTTTCTGAGCATCTTTCTCCTTTTCAGCCATTGCGAGAGCTGTAATATTAGAACACAATCAATCGTATCAAATATTAAATAACTGTAATTCAAACATAAGCCTATTCGTTTCACATACCATCCATGCTACGCGAGGTCAGACGTCTGCCCGACAAACTACGATCGAACTTCGGTGCAGTGCGATCGATTGGATTTCGTTTGCTTTCGTACAAAGTACGTCCAGAATAACGGTATTTTGAGCCAAAACGTGGGAACAAAGATGACTTTGTCGGCGGTTCTGGTGTCATTAGACGGAAGAATGTGTGATGCTCCACACAAGACTTCCATAATTTTTTAGCAGCCTGATGACTGGCTAACTTAAAGCCAATCGTCGATTCGAATTGCTCGAATTCACCGGGACGTATTTTGATATAAAAGTGATGACGTTTGTATGAAATCTTCAGTATCTTCGGCCAAGCGAAGCGATTGATGCGTAGTCTGAAAAAAAATCAAATCAAAATAAATTTGTTTAACTTTTCCAGCATAAATCCAGGTAAAAAATACGCACTTGTCGCGGTAAACAAGCAAACCAGATGCACAAACACCCAACATAATGTCAACGCCCTCCGAATCTTTTGCTGGATGCAAATCTACACCATACATGGCCAGTTTTTTAGCGTTTTCTAGATAATGCAATTCAGCTTCAGCAGGTGCTTGACCCCTAAAAAATTATTACTATAAGTATATAACGGTAAAATCAGTATAGTATGAAAACAAACTTGTGTGTCTTGTGCAAGTCCATGACCTTATCTTCCAACTCCGGCGTTTGATTTGGTGCTATTTTAAAATCCTTCAAATAGCGACGATCTGGCATCTCTTTCGGATCATAATCGCCCATCTCCGATTGCACCAGGTACGAGCCAAGTAGCGCATGTGTCACAAAAGTGCATGGCAAACGGCCTTCGAGTATGTCATTGCGCACTTGCAAACAAAGCTGATAGCGCGTTATGTCCTCTTGCAGCTGGGACGGTTCCGGTGGGTAAAATTTTACAGCAAATTGCAGCACCCATGGATCGCTACGGAAAAACTTTGAAACTGGTTTATCCAAATCCAACCAAACGCGTGGATCGGTGGGCGTGTCATATATAAGACCGAAATAGTCTTTTTCCACAATATTGAGACCAGCACAAATGGTATTGATCAAATCACGACCTCTCGCTTTGCGCTGCAAACGAAATCACGAAATTGAGAGGGGTGATCGTGGTTATTATATACATATTCTATAGACTACTGCGGGCAAAAAGTAAGGTGAATTTGTTTTTGTTTGTAAAATTAAAAATCTTTATTTATTCTTCTACATCGATTTCTTAGCCAATTATCAAAGCGCGCTGATGAATGTTTAATCTCCTCAATCGACTCAAAACCGTGTCCTCGAAGTGGTCTTTTGAGTTCTTGGAAGAGTCAGAAGTCACATGGCGATAAGTCCGGCGAATACGATGGTTGGGGAACGATATTCGTGGAATTTTTAGCGAAATGGTCACGAAGAATGAGTTGTTGGCCCATAATTTTGGTTTTTTTTTACGCAGTGCTTCACGCAAACGACGCATAACGCTTAAATAATAAACCTTATTCACCGTTTGATCGAGCGGAATGAATTCATAGTTCACCACACCACGAAAATCGAAGGAAACAGTCAACTAACCATGATTTTTGAGCGACTTTGACATGATTATTCGGTCTTGCCTCACCTTTAGCACGATATACGGTTGATTGGTCGATGGTTTCAGGGTCGTAGGCATAGAGTTTCCAAACCCTTTCTGTAGCATCCTCAACGTTTCAGCAACCGAATACAAAATTTGATCGCACTTATTTTCTCAAATAAATCAGACATTATAAAAATCGCCGAAGGCACTTTTAGTCGTTTAGTAAACACAAGCGTAACTAAAATACCAATGATGACCTTGACATGCAATTTGTCGTAGATGTCAGTAGCAGTGCTACCAACATTAAAAAAAAAGAGTTAACCCGAAATATTAAACGAACGAAGCTCAAATTAAAAATTCACCATACTTTTTGCCCACAGTATTATATTTATAACTAATTTTTACTCACATCGATAGTGACATCCAGTAGAGAGCCATCAAGCAGCGTGACACGCGCCAATCCAGCTTTTCCACTCGTATTCGCTTTTTTACTCTTCGTCGGCGTATCAGCCTCGGTTCCAGCGGCGGCAGTCTTCGTTTCCGCTGGCATCTTTAGTTATATTTCGTTTTACTCTTTTGAAATTATGGTGAATTGATTGATAATTGATTACTATAGTAATTTATTCTGAAATGAAGAAAATTTATAATCTTTAAAATAGGGGAAAAATACTGTTTTTAATATCAAAATCTTTTAAAATATTAAAAGATATCGACACAAGCCGACCAAACAAGCTGAACTTTCAAAAGATATTAACTAGGAGTCATATTAAATTAGCGTTGATTAATTTTAATTTGACAGAATGTCCAAGGGATAAATAACGAGAAAAGGAATGTACTAATATTATATACAATAGTAAATGCATACAAATGTATATATGTATGTATCGTGCATAATGATAATCTCAGAAATGAAAAGATATTATTAGCAAGATAGTTGCGCATGAAGAGAGGACAATTACAGAAGCAGTATCCAGCAAGACGATACGAGGTAGGCTCTACTGCACAGTACACACAAAATTGTATTGTTTTTGCAATGAAGGAATTCTATGAGTAGAGTTCATCACCAAATAGGGTGAAAGTTGAGAGAAGAATTATTATATTATGTAGTTTAAGCTTCCGGACCTACTTTTGTTAGTTAACTACTTAGGAACTTCCAAATCCTTAGATTACTTGATTGTTTTACAAAAGCTACCAGATTTATCATAGATCTCCTTTATTGCAAAGAATTTACCCATTACTTAACACTTCGCTTACATTATTAACAAGTGTTTTACGCAACTGAACTTTTCGCAGCGTCTGTCCCCGCTCTTATATACCCGCCGATTACTTGTACTTATCGTTGGAAAGTTCTATACGAAATGTTCTAGAAAACAAACATTCGACTGAAAATTCTTTTCATTCAGAATTGCCACCACCATAAATCTATCGATATTACATAGAACCATAGAATTCTACGTTCTCTGGTAGAACTGATTCTAATAGTGGAGAACGAATCTCGGAAATTCAAAACGGCCACACCAAAGTCCGTTCAACGGCATTTTACCAAGCAAAGTACACAGATTTTCCTCAGATTTATTTAACGTCACTCGTCGCTCCTACTCATATTTGTAGACATTTTTTTTGGCATTTTAAGGCCGTAGAACTTGACAGCCAAGCGATACGAGTATAAGTGGCATTTAGTAGACATGTAGTAAATATAAAATGATGGGCCGCTGATAATACAATAAATGTCATCTACGACAGTGAAAGTAAGTGTGATATATGCGGGTACAATATTCTTTTAAAAAATATTTGTATGATTAATTGTACTACGCAAGTCGGCAACCGAATGAGTGAGTATTAATAAGTGCCAACATCCGAACGATCGCGGGTGCGATTGGTAAATTTACAAGCTGTTTGAAGCGCTCTTCATTCGATATAAATAAATTTCCAATTATTGTTTTAAAACTAAATTTAGTCACAATAGCCCGAATAGCCGCTTCAAAGGGTTGATTAAACTGGCCATAAAACAGGGCACGCATTTTGATAACAAAATCCAACAATTCGCAAGCGTTTGTAAGACGATTCATGATTAAATTACAGAACAAACTGAAGATATTGGACAGCGTTACAAAACACGAAACTTGCGTCAGCTGTTTAAACCAGTGTTGCCAAAAAGATATTAGCTCAAAACTCACACCTTACCAAAACCAAAGAGTTCATAATGGCAAAGAAATTTTGTTAATCGTAATTTAATGAAGAAAAAATCAACGTTTGTGTCGATTTTTGCACATTTTTTTCGTTTCTGTATTCAAGTGGTAAGTGCCATTCTGAAGAGCAAGGTTCGAGTTTTGGTTCGACCAAACATTTAAAATTATAGAAAATTAATTTTTCTAATTGCCGTTTCCCCTCTCGGCAGAGAATGTCAAGCTCTCCGAGTGTATTTCTGACATCCAGCGGCCGTTCGGTAAGGGCTCAGGGCATCAATGCATACCACAAATTAGAGAAGGAACTCGGCCAATGAAATCACTTCAACGGTTATAATGGGCAAATTTTATATATATTAAAGTTCTATTAAATCGGAGAGAATATCTTACATTTTTCGCTTCAAAAATATGCGTTTTGAAAATTTTAGCAATAATATAAACCGTTTCATGAAAGATGCGACGTTGCAGTCACCATATAGACCAATCAGCCTGTGAACTTGTCTTTCCCAACTTTTCGAAAATAGGCTGCTATCAAAATTGTTTCCTTTTCTCATTGAAAATTTTATAATTCCTATATATCAATTAAGTTTTCCATAAAAATATAAGGAAAGCTTTCTAATTCAGAGTGCTCTTCCCGATGCTGCCCAAGCACTTGACAAGGTGTGGCATGATAAAATTACCTAACACATTCCACAATATCCTCGAAACCTACTTATCCAATAAGCGATTCACTGTAAAAGTAAATGAAAACATAACAGAGCAGCATCCAGTCACGGCAGGTGTTCCATAGAGTAGCGTTCTTGGAGGAATATTTTATATACTTTTATATACCGCAGATATTCCTGAGAGTGAAAAATTAATGACGTCAAGTATTGTGGTTGATACTGCTAAAATAAGTCGGCACCAAATGTCCCATTACAATCACAAACGTGCTTTGGGCAGCACCTTAAACTAATTTAAGAATGTCGCCCCATTGTCAAGCTCAACAGTGTACCTATCCCACAGGCTTAACGAAAACGTATATCTTGGCATTCACTTGGGTAGCGACACATGTTCGCCAAAAAGGCGCAACTGAAATTTAAATTTTCCAATTTATATAGGCTTTTAAGCAAAAAATCTGGGGTCAGCCTTGAAAACAGAGTCTGTCTTGATAATGCGACTTCCTTCCCTATATTTGACGATATGTATGTATGAAATTCAGTTATGGGTCACATCTTTAGCGACGAATCTGGTTATAGTACATAGATTCTATTCGAAAACATTAAAAATATTAACGGACGTACCATGGTATCATAGAGATCTAAATATATCCACCATCAAAGAAAATATTGAGATCGAAACACAAAAATACTTGGAAAATTGCACAAGCATCCGAACACCTTGAACTTCGCAACAAATGAAAAGCGCCTGAAAAGAGGAGACTTACTTACCCCTATGAAGAGCAGCACTGAGCCAGCAGCTTATTCCAAGGAAAGGGACTTTACATTTCAATTTAGTTTTTAAAATTGAATAACCCAATGTAAAATAAATACAAATTATACTAAGAAAAAAATTAAATGATCTAACCATGACAAATTGTCATGACAACCTAATGCCGATTACTAAGAAGGTAGAGTTCTTATAGAAAAAGATTTAATTTGCTAGCGCGGGGTCTTTAGGATAACGGCTTCTCCCTATCCATGCGGTGGCATAACTGTTGACACCATTTTAATTGAGCAACTATTGTTCAGCAATCGAAGAAAATTGACAGTGTTTTTCACAGAATACGATTACTCAAAACTTTCAGATGGTGGCAGTTTCCTGCTGCCTACCAGGTGAGACTAACTGACGGTGGTGTATGAAAGAGCATACGCAATTGACAGCGCTTACACATGTGTAGAATGGAGGACAGGGGGAGAGGAGACTTGAATTGCAACAAGTTGATTGGAAGCGACCAATAATTCAATACTCTACACCGTAATAGCGAGACTGTGTGGGCAAAACAATGTTGCATGTACCTAAGTGACATTGCCTGCGAAAATTACACACAACTGTTAATATCTGTACACCTACAATACTCATACATACGAATGTGAAATTGTGCAAAATTCATATACGAATAAATGAATTCAATTTGTGTGCACTTGAGGGTGAAAATCCTGCGCAAGAAAGATTTTTAAGGACACGAAAACGGTATTTATATGTACCATCACTTGCAATCGAACCCTTGGTCCAATTCAACAATGGTACCATAAATAAGTTTAGTTTTATAAAAAAAATTAATGAAGCGTAGATCGTGCTACTTGTATAGATGCGAGTATACTGCAAAATATCGTCCCACAGGCGAGAGTGTCCAAGAGATCCTCATGTTGAGTATGGCAACAACTGTCATAGCAAATAGTATAGAGTTGTTATAATACTCTCTGCACTTAAAAAACTTTCTAAATCATTAATTTCGTGTAAAAAATCCGCATTACTACACAAAGCAATAAATGCTCCGATGATCGAAATTCTACGAAAAGATGGGGCGACTTAAGGAAGGATTCAAGTCCGGAGCAAACTCTTGTAGGACCCAGAGGGGTGAGCTAGTGACGGATGCCCAGAGTATACCAAAACTATGCAGGGAACACTTGATGGCGATGGAAAAGTGCTTCTATTACCCGACTATAAAGAAGTCCGAATAGCAATAACAGAGGAGACTGATGGGTAACCGTCCGAGCTATTATTTGCAAAATATGGCCGGATGAAAGCATTCCCGACGATTGCAATTCAAATGTGCTCTGTCCAATCCATAAAAAAGAGGACCCCACAATCTGTGCCAATTACCGTGGAATAAGCCTTCCCAGTATCGCTTATAAGATTCTATCAAGCGTATTGTGTAAAGGACTAAAGCCCACTGTCAACAAACTGATTAGACCTTATCAGTAAAACTTTAGAACTGGTAAGTCAACCATTGACCAGATATTCACCATGCGTCAAATCTTGGAAAAGACTCGTGAAAAGAGGATCGACACAAACCACCTTTTCGTCGATATTTAAGCTGCCTTCGACAGCACGAAAAGGAGCTGCCACTACGCCGCTATTTTTGAATTTTGTATCCCCGAAAAACTTATACGGCTGTGTAAACTAACCTCCTCCAGACTTGATAAAGAAGCGAAGCGAATGGATCTGGTAGTGAATGAGGGCAAGACGAAATAGCTTCCGCCATCAGGCAAACAGTCATCGTATTTGCCGTTCTGATCCCAAGTCACTGTTGACAGTCATAACTTCGAGGTCGAAGATAGTTTCGTCTATCTAGGAACCAGTATTAACACCAACAACAATGTCAGCACGGAAATCTAACGCGCAATCACTCTTGCCAACAGGTGCTACATTTGGACTGAGTAGCTAATTGAAAAGTAAAGTCATCTCTCGGCGAACGAAAACCAAACTCTATAAGTCGCTCATCATACCGGTCGTA